AATGACTTCTATATACATATTTTATTAGAAAATTCTTTTTTGAAAGACCGTTCTTTGTCAAGAACAAAGGTATTACCTAATCGACTTTATTCACGGTTAATGTGGTCTGAACATAAAATACTTATGTGCATCTCATCTACAATAACTATTGGCTGTTGGATGCTTACAATAATATTTGTGCATTGCATCGACGGTAAGAAATATATTTTCTTTTTCTCACTCACCTGTCATTACATCAACATTTGTCTTTGTTGTGAGATCCTCATACTCATTGATGCTTAAATACAAAAAATGGTTCAACCAATAGAGATCAAGATAGGAGAAAGTGAAGGAACAAAAATGAATCCGCCATCTACATGATAATAAGGATTTCTTGTTTGTTCAGTTTTTCCTGTAAGGTACATCGTGTCAGAAAGGAAATAGTATGTTTTATTTTCGTCATTTTAGAAGTGTGAGGAGATTGTTCCACATTGTTATAACTAAAATACATTACGATACGAAGTATATGTTTTTTGAATATTACTCTAATAGTCAAGATTAAGATCATCTTTCTTTCTCTACTGACCTTCACATGGAAGTTCTTTTATATGAAGGATAGAAGTTGTTGAACACGCTCTCTTCAACTCTATATCTACTCAATAGATACAAGAAATAAAGCAATGACTTGAATAACAAAAGAAAAAGAAGAAAATAATAAGATAAGGAATGATAAATATGAACATGCAACTAGTGTCTAGTCATAAGCTCTTAGTTTGTCTCAATTCGTCTAATAATCATTACTGAAACAGCTTTAATGCTATCAAATACAAATCATGCAGAAGAAGCATACAACCTCATTTCAAGTACATTTACTGACATTGAAATAGAAAAAATAAAAATATTTTTCTTCAGAGATTTAAATGAAAAGAATTTTGAAAAGTATTCAAAGATACAAATATAGAGCGTTCTAAAGAAAAGAACACATCGAAATGTTTTTCTATTGTTTATCTACACTTCAATATTCATAGCCCAGGTCGAAAAGTACCGGCCGGTTCCGGCAGGAAAACAGCGGAAATAGCCGGAACATGGAAGCAGTATTCCGGCCGCAAATTTTCGGAATTTTTTCCGCTGATTTTCCGCTCGGTTCCTGCCGGAAAACACAGGAAATTGGTCGGAATTCACCGGAAAAAATCCGGAGAACTTCCGACCGGAATACTGCTTCCATGTTCCGGCTGTTTCCGGTGTTTTCCTGCAGGATACGGTGATTTTTCCCGCATTTTCCTGCCGGTTCCTGCAATATCCGGTGGCCGGAACGATGGACCTGGGAGGCGTTGAATAGTATAATAGATAATGTTCATGGACTTTAAAAGAAAATCTAGTTAATGTCAACACTTGTATGTTGTGTTTAGCAGTACAAAATCTATCACCTTCTGCACTTTGGGCTCAGAATGCTACCACAGTCGCAGGATTGGCAAATGGCACATCCGGATCATCTCTATCTACTCTCTTTATGAACCAAGGAATAAACATTGCAAATGATAATAATCTCTACATTGCCGATATGCTCAATAATCGAGTTGTTGTAATTGGGCCCAACTCAACTACGGCTATAGCTGTTATTGAAAATGCATCTGATTCAAGTCCTCTATTTAATTTTCCTTCTGATGTTTTTGTCACTCAAAAATATATCTACGTCGTAGACATGAACAATTTTCGCGTGGTTAAGTTATTCAAAAATAGAACAAATCCAGTCACTTTTGCCGGAATTATAGGTGAATACGGAAGCGGCCTAGATACATCAACAATCGGCAATTGTTTTAATATATTTGTCGACAGTAATGAGAACTTGTATGTGAGTGATTATGACAATAATAGAGTGGTTCGTTATCCATCGAACTCATCGAGTGGTATGCCTGGTGTGGTAGTCGCTGGAAATGGCACCAGTGGAACTAGTGCTTCACAGTTAAATGGACCACGAGGAGTGTTTGTCAATGAAGTGGGAACCTTGTATGTTGCAGATAGTTTGAACTATCGCATCCAAAAATGGAACAATGGAGCTTCCTCTGGTGTGACAGTGGCAGGCATCGGAGTTAGCGGTAATAGTTCCTCTGCGCTGTTCTATCCAACAAGAATTGTTGTTGACTCGAATGGATACATGTATATAGCGGATTTTGTAAACAGCCAAATTCTTCGATGGCCACCAAATTCGAATTCTGGTGAATGTATTGTGGCTTGTACTGGTATTAGCGGAGTTGGAATTGATATGTTGTATGGGCCGTTTGCATTAGCATTTGATAGCTATGGATCTCTTTTTATTAGCGATGGAAATATTAATCGAGTACAAAAATTTCAGATAGTTAGTGGTTTTGGTGAGTAGCAAATGTTTTAATAATTGCAATTTATTGCTTTTATCTTGAAATTACTTCAGATGAAACTTCAACAACAGCAATAACAATAACAGATCACACAACATCATTGCAAGCTTCGTCAAAGTCAAATAGGACACATTCATCAACAATTGCAATATCAATTGCTGTATTGGTAATATTTTTTTTGTCAAAAAATATTTCATAACACTTTCAATCATTTAATATATAATTTTCTAGCTTTTGTTTCTTAATGATTAAAACTTGAATGACTTTGTCCTTTGTCTCAATACAACACAATGAATTACAAAGTGTACAAATAGAACGTTTCATTGAAGTTGACAATCGTTCTTTCTCTCTATTACTTTCATACTACACTTGCTTGTCGTTTTTTTGTATTGTTGTGTGAATGTCAAAACATGTTTTCTGTATTGCTTTATTATCGAAACAAGATTTTCTAAATTATATTCTTGTTTTATTATTATGCTTTTGTCAATGAAACTTCATTTATGAAGTCGATGTGCGTGAACTCATATACATTTCCGAAAATAAAGCTTGGTTACATATATATTCATATTTATATGAGGGTCAATCAGCCCGACTTTTTCTAGATTTCGCCGGCATTTGACAGGTCTACACGCTTTCGAGCATGCTTGTACCTATCATATTCTTTCTTCGATCTGATCTCACTGTCTATCACTTTCTCTAACCTGTCCATAAAAGTCTGTCTATCTTCTTCTTACCTATATCATAAGTAAAATAAAATCAAATTAATTATGAATTTCTATGGAAAGTTAAACAAGTTGCTGTGACCAGTTTAGAGTTCCATGAGGGTAAGGAGGATGTGAGTGTAGATATGACTAAATAGAAGATACGTATCCACATCTACCATTCGAAATTTATCATTTTATTTTCGACGAGTCAATCAATAAATATCTTGTGCTTTTTTTTAGTAACTCTATGACTCATTTACAAACATTGTGCTTTTGGAGACCAAATAATTTTTCTTGGACATCTTGTAAGTGTATTTTAAATGAAAAATTTATTAGAACAAATTACTTAAATCTTATTCATGGAGTTTCGAACAAAAAACAGAAGATAAATAATTCTTACATAGAATTATTCGCTTGCTTGTTAAAACATACCAAAAATCGAAAAACAAAGCAATTTTTTATTTGAAAAGATCGATCAGATTTGCATCAGTTTTGCTGACATATTACCATTGTCACCTTCTTTATTAATTAGACACATGATATATATTTTCCATGAATTTACTTTTTTGCTCATTCATTTTGTAGTTGGAATTATAATTAAAACAGTAAGTAAAATACCTGGCTGTCGAATGGATTGTAAATGTAACTTAGCAGAATATTGTCATCGAGTCCTCTAATCTTTGGTCCTACTTAAATAAAGAAGAACACAAATTTCGTAGACAAATGCCTTTTTTGTCTTGTTTTGTTTTCTTGTAAAGTGAGAAGGACAAAAAACGAATTTCAACATATATATGCGATCATTAAATGATTTTGTGCCTCGTAGATTTCTTAAATAGATTTATCAAAGGATAAATAAATTTTTTTAAACAAAATAAAAGTCTTAAGTTTTGAAATAAATCTCTAGAAAGTCTTCTTAATCTTTTAATTGAAGTGACTTATCTGGATGCCGACATTTTAATACAGAATTCAGTGAAGAAACAGTATTAGCTTATTTTTATCAAATCGAAAATCCATTTTATGATCGATTGAGTTTAAATGAACAAATTTATATGAAAAATCTTCCAATTGAAACAATAGTACAATTAAATGAATTTATTTTATTGAAATTTTTCTTTGTTTCTGATAGTTAAATGCAATCGGTATTGAATCTAGACATATAAACCGACAAGAATCTAGTCTTGTATATATTATTCGAAAACATTTTCGTGACGAACCAAATGAATGCATGTAATCAAACAAAAAATAAATAAAATGATTGTTAAAGGCATAGTTGATATGTTATGGAACGTTCGAGATAAATGATATAGATATTGTCCTTGTGAAACATTTTTTTTATATTAAAGAATATATGATGTTGTTCAAGCATTAACTAAATATTAAAGTTTAAATTCTAAAGAAGATTATTTAACTATTTTAATCCTTTACTTCGTGTTGTGCCATTTTCGACCCATTTATAGCAACGATCTATTTGGAGTAATAATAAAGCATCGAATCGATATGATGGTTGCATACTATGAGTATAATGTATTTCAGAATAGTTTTTGAAAAATTTCTTAACTATATATATATGTAAAAGCAACATTTTTTATGATAGTTTGGGTCATACTTGACCCATTCGTAAAGAGTAACTTTGTTAGAACGATAAAAGATAGAAATTTGCAGCCTCCGTTATCATCTTTCTTCTCAACCAGACTTTAACAATAGGAATGAGTGATTTGGAATTGAAATCAGAATCAGTGATTCCATATCATATAGAGAACATGAAGATAAACGATTCCGATACTGATGCTAGAAATGGAAGACCTGACTTTAACCTGAATATAACTTTCTTTGCAGATGTCTCATCATATATCATCCTTTGCAATATGACTCATTTTTCAAAATATAGTTCATGATAAGTAACTCTTGAACTTTATACAAATAGAATAACAGTATAACTACGAAAAAGTCAAATTAACTATAAATTCAATTTTTATGGTATTCAAGACGAATGAGTTATTTTAGACTCATTCTGCATCTCCACAGTGAAATGACCTTGCTCAAATTTAACTATACCATTGTTATAATTATCACCTACAGGAACTATTCCCATCGTAGTCTCAACACCAAATCTATTGAATGAGTGCTTGGGATAAAGGATTAAGCAAGAATTTAGCATTGCAGTATGATAACATTTCATTTTCAAGTTGTGTCGCAAATTCAGAAAATGAAGAACATGATACATTTTTGAAACTAATAAATGTCTTCATTTTATGTAGAGGTGAACATGGAAATGTGGTATTACTGTGACAGATAAGATTTTTCTTACGACGTATTTTGTTCAGTATGAGGAGAATTGATTAGGGGTGGTGCATTAGCATTAGTATTAGCATTAAA